AGTTTCTGGCGACTCTGGTGGGACTATCCTAGCTCGGACATTGGACTCCGGACGGCTGCGGCGAATTAAGAACGGCGCCAACAAGGTGTTTCGCCCCTTTTCTCTGCTTCACCGCAGCCCCTAGAGTTCGTGCTCCGATAAGGTGAGTCCTAATAAAATAAAAAAACACTATCTAGTTCTAGTCTAGTTAACCAGTTAATAAATTTCTGTCTTATACATTTAGGCGTTAAGTGTGTAAACAGAACTGAGCCTCTCATTCGTAATTCCTCAGAGTAAAAGCCATCGCGTGCGATGAAGCTCTGAAGTCGAATTAAAATCCTTCTGTCCCATCCCCTGTAGCAGTCAGTATTAGTAGAAATTCCTGTAATAAAATCCTATTAAGCCATAATTCCCTCTGTTCTCTGTGTAATTCTCTGTTAAAGTGTCAGCAAGCAAATAAGTAAATCTCTAATAAAACCCTCTAAAAATAACCCTTTAAATTATATGTTAAGTAAATGGTCTTTACCCGGTGTTTAAAAAAAAATAGTTACACCTTGTGTAAAAATTAATGTAGCTAGTATTGTAAAAATTAAATTGTGAATAGAATGTGCATTTTCCCCAGAACATGTGCAGTGTATATTGTAGCAAAAGTAAAAAAAATGCAAACCTACCAATATAGGTTGTGTTGTCTCTTTCAGATCACTGGGTGTTTGAAAGCAGGAGTTAGAAGTAAAAGGCAATCAAAAGTCTGGGAAAGTTAACTGTGACCCTTTTTTTTTTTAAAGTAAGAATCTTTAAGCTGTGGATAGCTTTGAATCTGGAAGCAAGCCAGAAAGCATCTGTATTAATCCAATTTTCTAACTAATAAGGTAGAAGCCACTGAAACCTGGGCTGCCTATAAAATAAATACAAAAAAATATAAAGTAATTCTGTTTTGCCTAAAATCAACAAAAATATGTGTATATAAAGGAAATATTTTAAGCAATGACTGACTGCCCAGAAGGGGTAGACCTCTGTTCTTTTGTCTTTCAGATCATCAAAAAAAACGGATGCCAGCTGAATAGCATTCAACGTACCATGCATTTACTGGCACAATAGGAATTATTTTTGTGTTCTATGGCCAAAATTGTTGTTCAAATTTGCATACCAACAGTCTTTGGAAGCAAGGACATGGAAGGTTAACCCACTCCCCATATTGCCCATGGGATCCTTCTGGCTACCTCAGATTTCTAGCCAGAGGGCTAAAAAAAAAAAAGCTATTGGACACCTAAAGTTGTACCGAGTGGACTCCTCAAAAGTGGGTGTGCTTGTCCTAGTTTGTTGCTCCAAAGCTCTGTAATAAAGTTATTTTACTAAAAAAATGTACATAACATACATTAAGTAATAAAACTAATGTACTGTATAATAACAATATGTATGTGTTCATTTAAAAAAAAAGTGTATAAATAAAAAAATAAAAGTTTCCTTTGTAAATTAAAAAAAGCCAAAAAAAAAACAAAACAAACAAACAAAAAAAATAAGTTAACTAAAAAAAAAAATAGCTAGCAAACTCAGTCCAAAGATAAGACGCTGGCCCCATCCAAGGACACTGCCCACAGCTAAGACTTGGCTAATAGCCAAGAAAAGGGGGGGGCTGAATGTGCCCAAGCAACTATAAAATCTGCAAAACACTGCCAGGCATTAATGAAATGTGTTAGGTTTCTTTTCTCACAGATAAAAGAAGTGCTACCCAAAGACCCTAGCAGCCCTGCCATTCATTGAAACAAAAAAACTAAGTCTACGTAAAGTCCATCAACAAAAGACTGCTTTGGCTCCCCACTGGAAAGGCCACTTTGGCTCCCCACTGGAAAGGCCCTTTCCAAGTGCTGTTAACCACCAACACCGCTGTGAAGTGCCAAGGACTACTGCCTGGACCCATGCTTCTCACTGTAAAAAGACCCCTCCACCTCGAAAGGACTCTCCGACTGATAAGCCTATTTCTCCTTCTACCTCTGCTGTGCTTTCTAAACAGCAAAAAAAAAAAAAAGACAAAATAAAGTGCTAGTAACCTCTCCCTTGTCCACTGACAGACCTACTGTGCCTTTAATTTTTTCTAAAAAAAGCAAAACCATTATAAAATAATGTGCTAGTAACCTCTCCCCTGTATGATGCTGAACCACACTGTTTCAGGAAAAGAGAAGAAGGAACACTTGCTTCATTGAAACCACAAAGTCCAGGGATTCCTAACTGCAAAAAACATTAAAAACTAACCCTAATAAAAAAACAAAAAATTATATACTAGCAAAAAAAACTTGTAAAACCCATGCTTAAAAATGTAATATAGTACTACACCAAAAAAAATGTATTAAAATATCAATAAACTGTAATTAACACTACACTAGGGACTGTTAAATTTTCATTACCCTTATTCAGTTTCCAGATCACCTCTACATACCCAAATTGCTCACAAAAAGCTGCCATTAAATTAGCACAACAGAAGGCTTAAGTTATTTCCTCTAAAAAAAAAAATAATTTGACCGAATCCCTATGGGATGGGGCCAAAAGTGCAGCAGCAGTTTAAAATATTTTTAAAAACCAAAAACATAATAAAAAATTAGAGCACAGCTAACCCAAGTACAAGCTGGAATTGGTGAGTTACATGTTATCTCCGCCCTTAGTTCTGTAACCCAAAAGTTGCTAACAAAAATAATATTAAATATCACTGAGGCTGGGAAGGCATTGCAATAAAATCTAGCATGTTCAAAAATTCAGAATTTCCTGAATGACCAGCTAATGGCCATTCAAAGTAATCTAGAGCATCAGGCTTAGCCCACTGCCCTTACAAACACATCAAAAGTACCATCTGATCTGTGGCCATAAAAACATACTTAAAAACTTTCTGAATAGAAATGCAAACGTTCTCAGTGCTCCTTCCAAGCATATAGACCGGTTAAAAGTAAAGTAAAAATAGGCTCCCACATACTGAATCCTGCCGGGTCCATGGGGAGAATACATGTAAAATTAAGTAATTCACTAAAACATCTGCAAAATTAAACTACCTAGTATGCCCAATTAATTTTTAGTCAGTGCTCCTAGAATTACACCTAACATTTAAATAAAATTAAAAAGTCAATAAACATTTTAGTCATTAAAACCCCCACAGCTTCAGTGTATCCGTAAACTGAAGCCAAAAAAAGTTGTTACTCTTCATGACTATGTTTGCTGGGAGGGTAGGGGACAAAAAACTACCCTGACAGGACACTTACTTTTTTAAGCTAATGATAGCTGTGTGTATGTTAAAGCCACCACATTGCACGACATACATTTTAATCTCATTACCACTGCAAGCAATCATATTATTTATTAGCCTGCAAATAAAATTTTCCAAATAGCCCTTAAGTTCCAGATACCCTTTAATTAAACTAGTTTAGTACCTGATCAATTTCAAATTTTGCTTTCACTGTTACCAAAAGTTCAAAAAATCTCTAAAGTACAAGGGCAAATTCACATGCTTCAATATAAATATATATATCAAGTTAAAAAGTATGACTTTCATACACCTTAAAAAGTGTCTATTTTATGTATTAAGTATAATGTATTGTGCTTTATAACTAAAACTGTACAAAACCCGCATCATATTATTGCTATAAAAATGTTATTGCTTGTATTGTTATTAGTTTAAAATTATGTTATTGTTGTTAAAAATGTAATAATAGTAATACCTTTCATGTCCATGCTCATCATGCATTGTCATTACATCCAATCAAAACCCCTTAAGTTAAAGCATCTAAAATAAAATCTAAATTCCAAAACTTAATGCAAATAAAAATTTAAAAATAATTTGTTGTACTAGTATACAAAAAAAAAATTAAGTAAAGACAAAAAAAAA